CAGGTAGTTCGGCCAGAGCTCGGTTAGATTAGGTTGGGTTATTTGATTATGGCGTAACACAAAAGGGCTACCAGCCAAAGAGCAGAAACGTCTTCGTAAAGGATTTTCTAAAGAAAAATGATTTTATATTCACGTTACACACGGGGAAAACCCATCATGCAGTCAGCCCGTCCGCTCTGATTCGAGGACAAACTGCCAGTATTTAAAGACCTTTAACCGCGCTTTATTTCACTGATGGAGCTTTCGACCATAGGCTGGCTACAAGACAGGTTTTTGCAGCTTTTCCCATGTGTAATGTGAAGACGAACCAGTTTTCCATAAAAAGGTTCTCTACGAAGGCGTCCCTTCCCTTAGGCACCTTGCCATATTCCTTGTGCGCCTTGCCATATTCATATAATATAACCTAAGCTAACCAGTTTCGAACGGTAAAGTCTCTGAACACAGATAGTTCGGCTACATTTGAATTCCAGGGGAACGAGCTGGCTGCATGGGCATTTTCGTGTTTTTTCCGATGTGTAATATGAAGACGAGCCAGTTCCCCTTAAAATGTTCTCTACGAAGGCTTTCCTACTGTTAGGTAAACAGTTCTCCCGTGCTTTGCCGTAATCAAATAAACGAAACCTATCGAATCTTTTATATATGAATATTAAAAAGAAAGAGAAAATGAAAAGAGTTTTTACATTAAAACAGCATTTGAAATCTCCGTTTATAGGGAAACAAGTGTGAAAATGCAATTTTTAAAATACATCTATATTTATTAAGAACCTAAAAATACATTTTTATAAATGATATAGATAATTTAAACGCTTAAAGTTTGAAGTTCATTCACAATTTGTAGCCCAAAGGGGTAATTTTCTCAGAAGGTACATTAATTTCGTTTCAGCATTTTGCGTTGATTCACTATAAATGTGAATCACTTTATAAGGTATTTCTCCCGCCTTCCTAGCGTGCCTTCGTGGTGTGGTGGTCTGCACGCTGGGCCGGTATTTCCAGAGGTCCGTGGTTCGATTCACGGCGAAGGCGTTGCTAATTTTCAGTCTTTCTTGCTTCCAAAATACCTAATGTCTCTACAACTTTTCAAATTGTTGCCACCAAATATTATAGCCCTGTATTATATTTAAAGAAATTAAATAATGAAGAATCTGCATAAATGTATGTATGTTTCTAGAGCCATCAAAGTTTTAATAACGTACGTCTCCACCGAATATGGGCATCTGGAAGCCCAAAATTGGAATTTGTTTCATTATCTATTTCATATTTTGTAAAGTATTTATGAGTTTTTTTATTAAAAACTCAACGATTTTAAAGCGAACAATGGCAACAGTGTACGAAAAAAACACTTTTATCTCCAGCGCGCGAGACTGTGTATTGGAAATTCTAAAGATATGTTCTTTTAAATATTTGCCGATGTTGCTGTTGAACTGAATTTTATGGTTTAAGTGCGACAATATGGATTTCCTTACGGCAAATTTTTTATTGAGACAGGTTGATTGGATTTTAAACTTTACGATAGAAATATTGTTACCCTCTGTGCTTTTCAAAGATTTGATATTTAGAAAATATATCCAGGTCAGATTAAATCTAATATGTATAGCAAAAATCCTTATGAGGCAGGTGAGTATTATATCTATAGTGATGGGTCCGGTGTAGAGGAGAACACTATATGGAACTGAGATATACTGTGTGAAATGTAAGTTAAATAAATATATTTCGTTATTCTAACCAGACCGCTGACATTTATTTTGCTTTAAAGCGGATAAATATATTCTTAAAAATCGATATATATTGATTGTATAACATATATATTGATTGATCGTATTGAATGTATAACTTTTGTTTTTACTTTTGAATTTGAGTTTGAAAATGAGAGTTGTCGGGGAATATTTTTTTCTAAAGTAAGGTTCTCGTTTAGTTATATTCCTAACGATTAATTTAAATTAAAAGGAATATCTTACTCATTTTTATTTAGTTTATGACATTTCTTTTGGCTTAAGTGGACTAATATCGTTCTATTAATTGAATATTGTTCATGAGATATGATATAGCTCTAGCAAAATAATAATTTGGTCTTTACTTGGAAAAAAGACGAAACACTTTCACTAAATTTAGTTATTGTTGATTGATAGTAGATTAGTTTGTTTCCCTTGACAAGTCAATAAAACTGCGGTCAATGGCCCTAAGTACTTTTTCAGTGCTTAAAATTTTATTTTTGATTTTGGTATTTTTGCTATTCAGGATTTTTCATTACATATTTTAAATGTTTTTACTTCAATAGAGGTCTGAATAATACTAATTTAAAATGCTTACCAGAATACTGACTGTAAAAATGTTGTCTTATAACATATCATAGCTTTAATTGAATTGCTGTTCCTTGGAGATAATATATGAAAAACGTTTTTCGAATAGCAAAATAATAATAATAATAATAATAATATAATATATATATATATATATATATATGTTACGGTTGAAACACCGAAATCTGGAGAATGTCGACATTCACCGGTAAATGTCAAGCATTCACATAGTCGCTTGGTTTATGTTCCGAAATATTTTCCAAATACTCTTATTTGTGACTTACACCGGTGAATGTCGACATCCACTATGTACTAATGACGAATGTTGAACATATAAGAATATTATATTTTCTTTTCCGTAATTCATTCGCGAAAAAACACACTTGAAACTTAAAATAAGAACTTAAGAATATAAGAACTTAAAACACACAGTACATTCAAAATGAGAAAGGAAAATAATAAAAGTTAAAAACTTACTAAATTATGTGATTTAAATATTATTTATTGCAACGACTTAAACTATTATGGCACTTTGAAGTGCACAAGAGGCCCTTGCTTTTACAACTGCATTTATTTGTGGAACACTTCCTTTTGCAAGAACAGCGTGTACATATACTCCTCTCTTTTCGACCTACACCAGAGCATATCTGTGGTTGTCGACATACACCGGTGAGGGTCCGAATGTACAAGAATGTAATGCAATGTTCGATCTTTCGCCTACGTATTTGGTGAATGTTGACATTCTCCGGTGAAAGTCGACATTCTCCCATTTCGGTCTTTCACAGTAACATATATATATATAACGACAATTTATCAAATTTACAAGTACTCTACAGCCCGAACCAGACAAATGAACCAATATTATTATTAAATTGTATTTTGAGCTTATATCGAGGCATGTAATTAATATGAACTGGGTAAAAGCACATGCGAATTTTATTGGAAGTGAGAGGGTGGACAAATTGGCCAAAGATGTCATTGCACAAAATGACACTGAAATCATTGAGCTGCAGGGGCCGAAGAGGAAAGCCGTGACCTTATGAACATATGGACGTGACTATATTCACATATCGAAAGAAAAATGGGAAATGTACGACAAAAGTAAAAACTATGTGAGAATACGGAGGGGATAAGAAAAGGACAAATATATAATGACATAGATTTAAATAAAATTTTAACGGGTCACAGCCGTTTACTTACTTTTTTAAAAGATTTAATTTTCAAAATCAATCGCATCTGTGGCAGCTGCAATGAAACTGGAGATGCTAAACACTTCGAGAAGACGTGCTCATTTTTTAAAGATATAAGGCGAGAATTTTATCATAAATGGAATTTTTAACGTGGAATGGATTTTTGAAATTTTGGGAAGGCAAAAAAATCTATTAGGAATGATTATGAATTATATCAATAATAATTGATCAACAGTGGAGATTATACTTTAATGTGTGCATAACTATGACTAGGACAGCCTAATTAAGCCACAAGGCCACTTGTCAGGAGAGCGGGCTACTACCCAGAAAACAAACTCCATACTTTCATCATCATTTTTGTTAAAAATCTTTCTAAAGTGCTGCTCTTTTATATTTTGAAGACCCAAAAATAATTTTTATTTATGTTTAAATGTACTTTTCTGTGTGATTATAATCTCCTGACGCCATATACACAATTTTATTACACATTACTTAATATTATTTTACGCTTCCCCCTTCGTGGGTTAGCCCAAGGGGTTAAATATGCCAAACTGAGGGAATTTAATAGTTCGCAATTAATTCTTTATGTAAAAATTAGAAGTTCACTATTCTGATGTATACTACTAATTGACTCAACGCATATTATCCCTGAGTACCTATATAAACATATATCTTATAAGGTATTTAATTGCATTTTTATTTCAGATAAAATATCGGAAGCAACAGCTGAATCTACTGTCGCTTTTAAGAAAATAAGAAAACAATCGGTTATCATAACAAAAGAATCGTAACAGTTTTTCTTCTCCAATATTTCTCATGTTCAAAAATAAATGCAATACAACTTTTGCACTTTCGTTTACTCCATTTTAACAAAAGAATGATAAAAGAACTCAAAATACTGATACTTACGATTATATTTTAATTCGAATTTTGTTTATGTCTCATAAATTAGTGTCTCAGTGATAGTAACACGAGAATGAAATATTCTGTAACATTTTGCCTTCTGAAATTGCTCAAACACACGTTTTAAAAAATAGCTATACAATAGAGAAACAAATTATTTCCGTAATTCATAATTACAATGAAAATTGCCAGAAAACATTTTTCATCGATGAGTGAATGACAATAATATAGCGATTTCTGTCAATGCAGAAACTATGCGCACAAAATAGCTACCACCGCAATAGAGCCGGGTTATATTGAATAGACACTCGCATGACCTTGATTATGTCACGGACTAGTCGTCATCCCTGAATAACATCCATCTCGTCTGCTCAGCTGTTGTTCGTTGGCAAATTAAGCGGTGTTATATCGAACCTTGTTTTTATTTTAGTTTCGGATAAATCCGCCTGCGGAAATCTTATTGGTCAAGCCAGAAACTTTCGAGCTGTTAAAAAAAAAAGGTATGAATGAATCGACCTAGAGACAAGCGCGCGCACGTGAAAAGAGTAGCCTTCGCCAAAGATTTCGACGTCGCTGCGCATTGGCACGCTTCCATCGTCGCCAAGAGCGATTTCGCCAAACACTGCACAAGTCGGCTTCCCAGCCAGACGCGTGGAAACTCTCTCAGCTGAGTTAACTCCAGAGGACCAGCTGGGTTAGCTCACCGTGCTACAGCGAAAGGCATAGCTACCAAAGCCGGAAGATCCGACCGGCGGGCTACACAAAGCCCCCACGAGCCTCAGGCGATGTGAGATGGGCGAGCCTTCATGGTGCGGACTATGTAGGTGTCCCACCACAGTCCTATGGGCAATGAGCGGCGGTGCTGAGCTCAGCTTCACTAAAAGGGCGGCCCAGGAACTAAGTCGGTGCTTCAACGGGCTGACGGTGAGGGCGCCTGGAAAGAATGCCGCGGGAGGAACGGTTTCCGCTTCCTTTTGCCCCGGCAGCGGCGCCCTAAACGAGACCCAACACCTGCTGCAGTGCCGGGGCGGCAGGGGACGGGCCGCGGGCTCTGGGAAGTTCAGGGAGAGACTGGATATTGTGCCTCACGCGCGGACCCTCACTGAACTATGGCTTGAGCCCGGTTTTCTAACGCGACTTTTCAAGCACGTCAATCCTAAAGATCGCTCAGTTTTAGCTCAGGTAAGACTTATTTTAAACACCTCAGTTTCTTAAGCATAATTAAAAAAAATATATGGTTAATAATGTCCTAATTTAAGTTCAGTTTTACACGCACATATATATATACTATATATATAAAAAAAAAAAAGAGGAAGAGTTGAAATATACAGGAATAATATCAACTAAGAATAGCAAATTATCCAGCAGGAAGACACAAATTAAAAACAACTAAAGCAAACGTTTTTGAAAACACAATTAAAATTAATGAATTAATACAAAAAAATAAAATAAAAATTATTAAGTATAAAAATGATAATTAATATATAATAAGTAATAGTTGATAATTTCTTGGTCTTTGTGGACGAGCAGCCAAAGCAATCAATAGAGCAACGTTTCTGAATTATAGCTTGCAAAATAAAATAATCAGCAAAATTCTTTTTTAAATTTAAAATAACTAAACGAAGATATTTTAATATAAAATTTAAGAAATTTTAAAGCATAATCATCAAGATATAACCCCTTCCGACGCAACTAGAATGAAAATATGTATATAAGATACAAATAAAAAAGTAAAACAAAAATAAAATTTAGACAGTTGTTTTTAATTTGAAAAAAAAAAAAAAAAAAAAAAAAAAAAAGATTTTTAATAGCAGCTTGAAAGATCAAAATAGTAGAAAGTAATATTTTTGCACAACTGTTTGGTATTAATGCTATATATTTAACCTCTTTCTCAATTAATTAAATGCGCAGCATTTCGCGAGATATTAATAATATTTATGAATGAAATATTCTTATGTTTCTGGTCGTTATACATATTTATTTATACACTTGTTATAGTTATATATAGATTGTTTATAGTTTCATAAAAATTCTTCTCTTAGATATGCTCGAATACACGAAAATGGTTTTCAAGATTTGATTTCTAAAATAATAAAAAAAATCCCGCAAAATATCAGTTATTCTCTTATACAAATACAAAACAATAAACTTCGTATTTCTTGAATTTCCTACTTCGCATGGAATCAAAATAGTTTCAGCTTTTTGTAAAGCATACAATTCATTATTGACAAAAAAATGAAGGCATAAAAATTAAATCAACGAGATTACTTTGTTAAGACATTTTAATAAATGTGTTGTAAAAATCTATAAAACCCTTTTTTTATACATTGCCCTCTAAATGCTTTTATTTTTTTCTGTTCAATTAAAAGAAATAAAAGGAGCGCATAATCATATAAGGTATTTCTCCTGCCTTCCTAGCATGCCTCCTTGGTGTAGTGGTCTGCACGCTCAGCGCGTAATTGAGAGGGCCGCGGTTCGATTCCCGGCGAAGGCCTTGCTAATTTTTCATCTTGCCTGCTTCCAAAAATACCTAATGTCTCTACAGTCTAATTTAAGTTCATGATGTCCCATGATTTTTAATGGTTGGTTTATTACATAAAATTGTATAATAATATGAATTTCAATTGATTTAAACAGTTATGTAATAAATGTATGAATACATATAAGAAGGTTAAGATCTATATTAAAAAAAAAAAGTTCCGTGCGATTATGATTCTATCCTGTAGTTTGGCTTAGAAATGATACTTTGAAGTAAAATATCTAAAAAATTCCTGGGGCATATCTAATCGGGTATTTTCCCACTAATTTTACAGCTTGAAAATTTGGGAAGGGAAAAATACGCAATGCTTTCTATTTCTGACGAAAAGGCTTAAATAATAAACTTAGCACATTAAAAGCATACGCAAATACGCATTAATATTGTTATATTATGTGCTTCAAAGGGCTTACCAGTTTCACTTATGTTCGTTTTACTTATGCAGTATACTTTTTTATTCGTGTACATTTTACATTATTACCCCAAATCGGAAGTTTCTAAATCATATGTTGAAAAAACTAGGGAGCGGGTTACGTTAGGGGAAGAAATATCTGAGTAAATGCGGTATTGGAAATTTTGTTGTTTATGTAATAGATACGATCTATCAAGCAGTTGTAGCCTACATTTTTGTCTGTACTAGCACATTTAGGTGTATATAAATGTTTCAAATTCTTAGTTGCGCATATCTTGTATAGGCTGTTTATAGGCTTCGGCCACTACTGATGTCGGAAGCTGTGGTCTCTTTATTATGGAAGCACTTTATAAATGGGCTACCGTTGTCTCCTATGAAAGGACGGACAAATTCCATCCATACTTTCTCCGGGATTCGAATCCGGGCCCTTCGGTACGGTGGTTAGAGTTACTAATCCCTTTCCCTCTGGGCGGCTAAAGAAGATCTTTTCTATCCTTTTAATAAAAACAAGAAAAATGAGTTTTGGAGAATTCTAAAAGAACAGTCTGAATAGTGCCTCAGAATGTGTTAGTCACATCTTGCGTACATGATTTTTTCTTTAATAGAGTAACCTAAAATTTCACAAGGGGAGACTTACATATACACATTTTTTACATTCTAAATCAGTGATGTCAAGCTTCTGTACGAAAGAAGAACGCTGCTAGCTCTGTAGTCCATACAATAGGTTTTACTTATCACCATTTATTTATTAGAATAATACATTTAAATTATTTTTAGAAATAAATTAGGATAAGGATTATATATGAAATCTAATTAAAAAAGAAAATTAAAATATTTTAAAAAATTCTTAAATAAAAAAAAAAGAAAGAAAATTTTAACATAAAATTGATTCCATTACAATTAAATGGGGAACTAATATAATTTAATAATGGGATTTAAGAAAAATTTTACACAAATTAAAGTTAATCGCATGGAAAAATGCTTACAGCATGGCCACATTAAATTGACTTTTCAATTTGAATTTTTTGATACATTCCTAACAGTATTTTTTGCATTTAATGTTTTAACTTTTTTAATTTCAGGATAATTGAAAATTTTGTATAATAAGGAATTCACATGCACACTTTTGGGAATTTTGATTAAATATTTTATTTAAGATTTGACGCATAGCAGGAAACACGATGTCTCAATTTGAGGTTGAAAAATAAATTCTGCCTGAGATCTTAAGACTTTCCTTTCATTAAGTAAATTTCATTGGACAATTTTAATATAATTTTTGTCACAATTTTGGCAAATTTTGCAGTTTGCAAATTAATTTTTTCTGTTGGCGTTGGCTGGTAAAGCAATTTTTCCACGTTGATTTAACTTTTATTATTTAATTCTCGTAAAAATCTTTCTTAAACATTTTAAAATTAAATTTTTTTTAAATATTACTTAAAATTGGAATTAATTTATTTAGGCTTCAAATTGTAATTTACTTTATTAGCTTTCCTAATTTAATTTGAAATATAAGAATTTTAATAGGAGTATTCCCCTTTAATTATAATTATGTTTAATTAAATCATTGCAGCCTAGGCGCAGGATTCTTAACAGTCCTTACTTGCATTTAACTATTTGATAATATATATATATATACTCTATCTATATGAAATAGTTAAGTGAAAATTGTCTTGATAGTTTCTCGAAAGCAAAGAAGAAAAGCTTATATTAATAGTACCGGAAATCGTTAATTCATTCCCAACCAGGTACTGTCTTTAAACCTTTCATATTAAACATATGTTGTTTAACAATGTTTCAAAATAGGTATACTTAATGATTTTTGATACTTTTCAATAATTACAAGTTATAAGACATTTCTCCCGCCTTCCTAGCATGCCTTCGTGGTGTGGTGGTCTGCACGCTGGGCGCGTATTCCAGAGGACCGCGGTTCGATTCCCGGTGAAGGCGTTGCTCATTTTTCATATCTCCTGCTTCCAAAAAATTCCTAAGGTTTGTTCTAAAAGTATTTTTGCATTTAAATAAAATTTTTAATTCCAAATAATTGAAATTAATTCACATCGTATAAGAGAATTCTTAATTTGAATTTCTTAATTTGAATCGTATAGGAGAATTCTTAATTTGAATAGGAAAAAGATGAAAGTTTACTTATCATATGATTAATGTGCGTCTCTACTGTTGGCATTTATGGAAGCAGCAAACAATTTCATGCCACATATAACATAACAGAACAAGAGTTAATACTCTATTATAACAGTTGTTGCCAAATTTGTTATAAATGCGATAAATTTCTTAAGAATGCCCTAAATTTCTTATAATGGTAAGGGGAGCAATAACACATTACAACAAATTTTGTTAATCTTACCAATGGCGGCAGACAATAACGTACCAGAACGCATGTGTCTCGCAGGCTGCCAAATGACCATCATTAAATGTACATTATAACAGCATGGCAAAACCTGCGTCCTTATGATTATTTTAATGCGGTCGCAGCAAATATTAATGGTGTCGCAGCAAATATTAGTTTTAGTTCATCCTAATTTGAATTTTGTGCTACGACACATTTTTAAAATTATGCATACGAACAGAAAATTTAAGTTAACTTCAAACTGTGAGCCATTTGTGACAGATACCGGTGCCCTGATGAGTATAGTGGCTATTCACGCTGGCTGTCATACTGATGAACCCTGGGCTGGAATCCTGGATATTCGTAAATATATAGTATTTGTGCGGCATGGCGACACTTTACTTGAGAGCCAAAAAAGCTTCTCGAGTGGTTTGGTGGTCGTGAAATGAGGTGCAAGTCCCTCGGATCTATTCCCCAGTGTTTTACCCGCTAAAACAGTTGCACAGTTAGTACGGTGGAACAGTACCTAAATAAACAATGCTAAAACTCTGGTGTCTCACCCATTTATTTCTGTCTTCGCACCTCATACTACCGAGACCATACTACTTTTATAACAGGTAACTGCTATCAGGGCAGCAGAAAAGACAGGTACACTCTGCACAAAAAAAAAAAAAAAAAAAAAAAAAAAAAAGAAAAAAAAAGAAAAGAAAAGAAGAAAACTAGCTAAGCACAAAAACTATAATTATGAAAAAGGTTTTTATTTTAAATGTCCGAAACTTAAAAAAGATATCGATGGCTCAGATTCTGAATTATTTAGAACTGCTCTGAAAAGTGCAGAAATTCTTGTATTAATTGACAGCTGCTAAGCAATGACTACATAGAGGAAATTAATGTGAAATGAATTATTTCAAAAAATTTTCCCCATTTAAAGAATATTGCGTGATGTTGATTTAAGCAACGTTTTCCTCTTTCTCTTGTATATAACCTTTGAAGACTATTCTTTAAGGTACTTGTTTAGAAACAAATATTGGCAGTATAATAACACGATTTAGTATTGAAAAGGATCATAAGACTGCATGCCACACAGTCGGCATCACGTTTTTTAAGGAAACTGAAACATGTAGGCGAACAAAGTATAAGGATATATCAACAAAGGTCTTTTATTAATTTGACGTTATGGAAATTTCTTCTTCATTTTTCAGCGTTAAAAGAATTCTGAGTTACATGTTCACATTTTGCTTCTTCAACTGCTACATATAATCGATTTTTCTCTGAAAAAAAGTAATTTCATCACGAAGAAAGAAATTTGCATGTATCATTTATTATTTTCAGATTTTAAAAATGAAAATATTCTTCATAGAATCAAATACAAACCGGGGAAGTACTTAGTGACTCTGACTACCGTGCCGAAGGGCCCGGGTTCGAATCCAGGAGAAGGCATGGATGTTTGTAAGTTTATAGTATCTGCGCGGCATGGGGGCACTCTAAATATGCGGCCAGTCGAAAGTTCTCTCGAGAGGTTGTTGGCACGGAAAGAAGGGTGGGAGATCCTCGGATCCCCCGGCCTATTTTCCTCCAAAATTGGGAACGGAATTCAGCAAAGTAGTACTGTTACCAGTAGGGTGCTCAAGGCTGTTGCCAACGGCAGACGCAATCTTCTCTGTTTGTCACGATGAATTTTGTGGGCTTGGTCTGATATCAGACAAGTGAGGTTAGTCGCAACAAAAACAAGTACACAACAAAGCAGAAAGGGAAGAAAAATTTCAAAACGCCTTCTTGAAAGAACTAATTTTGTTTCATCATTAGAGTATATTTAACATGGCTAGAAATGTCTGATTTTTTTAAGGCGAAGAAACGTAAGTTTTCACGTTCTGCGAATTATTAGAAGGCATTTTTTCAAAATCATTAAATGAAGCCATGCGGGTGAATCTTCATGCACTTGAGGTGCTTAATAGTTACTTAAATATTATAATTATATATTATACTTTTAGAAAAGTAGTTTTTAATGTATCTAAAAATAAGTCTTTTCTCAAATTTAGTACCATATCGCAACTCAGAATCAAGACAGTTTTTTAATTTCTTTTCATTTTTCAATAAAAATTTAAATAACAAAGTTTAAACTCTAATAACAAAAACAGCATTTAAAAATTAATTAACAAGTGTAGTTGGTGATTTACTTGGAACTCAAAACTGGTGCTTTCGCTTCGAATTGTCAGAAACTGTATCAGTCTGTTCGATTTTTCTGTAACATTATCTAAAAATTATCGAAATTATACTTTCAAAATAATGATTTTAATTAAAGAATTCCCTATTTGAAGTCATATTTTATCGTGGTCTAATCAAGTTCGGTGTGACTTTATTTTCAATCACTTCTGTTTCAGCCGGGACGTGTCTCTGTCTTTCGAAGGATTCAACATTGATTAAGGACCGCTGTAGACGCTTTGACTGCGACATGAACATAGCTTATTCTTTTCATGCGAGCAGATAGTTTTCACTTGAGCTACAGAAACTGTTTCAAATCTCTAAGTTAATATTAAACTCATTTTCTTAGTTTATGTATACTTTTTTATATCAACAGAAAACATGAAAGTAACATTTTTCATTTCTATCTCCAGCCAAACTTTATACATATGGAGGTAATGTTTTCGGTTCGAAAATTCGATAGTCAAATTCCAGTGAATAAGCACAAATTAGGGTCCCCACAGCAGGTTTTTACTTTTTTACAACAATGTACGTCTGTGTATGCATGTGATGATTTTGTAGTTCTCGATAACTGTTATATGAGGTATCTAAAAATATCATTTTCCATATTTAAGCTTTCTGCATTAATATAAAAAGTTAATTAGATTTGTGGTAAAATTAGACAACCGGAAGTGGTACATGAAACCTATAACAGTTTTTAACGGAAAACTATATTAATATATAATCCAAAGCTTTCATATTTTAGTATCTAAGGCTTTAATGTCGATGGAAACAACATAAACATATTAGATTTTGGCTTAAACTGATAAACCGAAAGTGATACTTTATGTGAAGCTCTAAACAGATTTTCGTGAAAAAATACATAATGACATAATCCAAAATTCTCACATTTGGTATTTAAAACATGCCTGACTGAGAACAGTATATATTACATTTATAAGCATTAAATGCAGTTTGGAATAATGACAAATGTAGTGAGAATAAGCTCATTTTGAAGATGGGCTCTCGTTATGAAGCCTCAGTCCTGAATTTTGAATCCGTTTCATTCTTGCGTCGAATCACTTTTCAAATACAGTCAAAAGTCGTTAATTCGGACACCCATAAACCGGAATGATCTATAATCCGGACCTCAAAGCTAAAAACTTTCTGCGCATGCGCCGCGTTGACACATGCGCATAAGCGTTTACGCCTGCGCGTAAGAGCTCTACGACTGCGCATATGCGCGTGCGCAAGCGCAGAATACGTTTTCGCGCGCGCGTTTTATGTATATAAGCTAAAATAATATACGGTATAAGCTAAAATTATCGAATTATCTATTTCAGTTAATGTTGATGATTGCGTTGTTCCTTAATCTTCGAATTGGATCCGGCTTATTATTTTTTGCAGACTGTAAGAGCAATTTTATAAAAGTAAACTTGAACTTTCAAATAGAATTTCCGATGCTGGAACTTCCAAAGGATCTACAAAAAAAGTATGTTTCGATGTCCAACAGACAAAAAGTGGAATTGCTGCAAAAAATGGATAAAGACATGAAGAATGTGACAGAGAGGTTAGTGAAAACGAAAAAATTTCGATTGACAAGTTAGTCGGTATTCTCGGCACAGCAATTAACGGGACTTGAACAGCGGAACTTTGTAACTGAACAAGAAATTATGTCTGTTTTATAGAATTAAAGAGAAGTATTATCACATAAAACGAAGCAACTTAAACAACTTACATTGAAAGAAATGTTTAATAAAGTAAACAAATAAATATTAAGCTTTTTTTTTTGTTTAAATTTTGATACCCTTTAGATCATAATTGTTCTTTATTTCATAAATTACGGTTTCATATTTTTAATTTTAGAATTTCTGCATGCCATCTTACGAATTTAAACTGATGATCTATAATCCAGAAAAATCGATAATCCGGAATCGTCGGAAGTCCCGACGAGTCCGTATTAACGACTTTTGACTGTAAAATGACTGTACACTATCGCTATGCATTATTTTTTTAAAAAAATAATATAGCAAATATAAATAGTAAGTTAAATATAAAAAAATGTATGGCAACACTTTAGCACTTTACTGGAAGTTCTAATGATGTACCGCTTTTAAAAATCATGTGATTTGTTGTTAAATTTTCTGCGGCTTTATAAGTGCGAAGAACTATTAATATTTAGATAAAGATAAAAAGGAAATAAAACTTTTATTATCTTATTAAGAAACCTGAACGTTGATATCATGAAACTTATAAAAAGCGTATGACAACTTTTAGCACTGGTACCAGAGCCGTTGCAACCTGTGCGACTGCCCCGGGCGGCAGATATTGGCGGCGGCAATTTATTTTTAAGTTTTTCACTGGGAAGTAGAATTTAGGAGCCACAGGCATTGCACCAGAAGTTGCCCCAACCCTTGAGCACTCTATTTGTAATTATAATGAAATACAGCATTTAAAAATTTTGTGATCAAGTTATTGATTTATGAATCCGAAACACTATGGATACTACGATAAGTGTGGTATTTTCAAATGAAAGCGTTAGAACTGATTGTATATGAGCACGTAAAGCTATCACTTTCCAATGTATGGGAGTGTAAAATAATATAAAACGAGCAGTGTTTTTAATTAACATTGAACCATAGAGTTTGTAAACATATGTTAGATTTTATTTAAAAATGGTCAACAAATTCCATATTTTAAATAGCATCGAGCATTAAGCAAAGTATCGCTTTAAGTAAAGATCGTTATAATGTAAACTATAGCATCTAGACTGCATTTGTCTAGAAATGTTCAAATGACCTTATTCAGTTTTCAAAAATGGATGGTAAGAATATCGCATGATCATAAAAAAGGCATTAAATTATTCAAATAAATCTATATTTCATATAATAAGCATAAACATTTGACATTTGCTTCCATCCTTTTTGCTCATTTTTAGAAACGTAAATCTCTTTTTTTGTCCAAAGGGACAATTTGCTCTGAAGGACTATTAATTTCGTTTTGGCATTTTGCGTCGAAAACTATAAACGGCGAATCACTTTTCAAATTGTTGCCATAAATAATGAAGAATCTGCGTGAATGTATGTACGTTCCTTGCCTTGTGATAAAACAACGGTACCTAGAGCCATCAAAACTTGAATAACGTAATCTTCCATAGAATATGGGCACGTGAAAGCAATAATTGGAATTTGAAATTTGTTTTATGATCGATTTCATATTTTGTAACACTTCAACGAATTTTTGATCTCCAACGCGCGAGTCTCTGTATCGGAAATACTAAAGATATGCTCATTTTAAAATTATTTTGAGAAATATTGCTGTTGAACTGAATTTTATGGTTTGAGTACGTAGAACGTGATATTTAATAAATAAAGGTAACACACAAAATATTAAAAGAACGCCCCTTGGGACGTAATTTAAAATCTAAAACCTTTCAGATTTTTTTTTCTTTTTATTAACTTTTAGAATGCTTTAGGAGAATTTCTCTTCGGAGGTTTCAAAAGCAGTATGATGGCTAGTGCAGTTTTTTTTTAACATCGCCCGTTTTTGCAACCAGTTTCTCTTAATGTGATTTGTATTTCTTATAAGAATTTTGCCATATATGTGAAACGCAATTTGCTGAGGGGAAAACTATGTAATTTCAAAAGAAATGTTTATTTTCTTATACATTAGATTTATTCCTAATTACGATTTAGTGAGTTTTACTAAACATTTTATGAAAAAGAATTCACTTAGTGGCAAATACGTAATTGTACTTTTATGATCTATGTCATTCATAATCGAAAAAACAATAAAAAAATAAAAAATCTGAAGACCTTTAGATTTTACATTACGCCCAAAGGGGCGTTTTTGTAACGTTTTGTGTGTTACCTTTATTTATTAAATATTATGTTCTTTGCATTTAAAGCATAAAATTCAATTCAACAGCAATATCATAAAATATTTAAAAAGATAATATTTTTAGAATTTCCGATACACAAGTGGAGCTAAAAAACATTTTTTCCCATACAATGTTGACATTGCTCACTTTGAAATAATTGAGATTGTTAATCAAAAATTTGTTTAAGTTTTACAAAATATGAAATTGATAATGAAACAAGTTCCAAATTCCAAATTTGGGCTTCCAGATGCTCATATTCAAGTGGAGAACTAGTATATTCAAAATTTGATGGCTCTAGGTACCGTTGCTTTTTGACAATGCGAGAAACATACATACATTCATGCAGTTATTCATAATTTAATTTCTTGAAATATAATACAATATTCTAATATTTGGTGGCAACAATTTGAAAAATGAAATGGCGTTTTATAGTAGACGACTCAAAATGCCAAAACGAAATTAACTAACCCTTTTGGGTTAATCGCCCCTTTGGGATAATAAATGAAATTTAATGCTCTTATAATCACAAATTACAGTTTAATATTTGGATGTGTTTTGTGTTAAAGTTTCAAAGAGTTAAAAATATATATATAAAATGTAAAAAAATAGGTATTACAAGATTAAAAAGAAACTGCAGTTCAACTAATTTGGTAGCAGATTTTAATATATTGTAAAGGCCCTTATTTTCGCGATTTTCGCGAGCCCGTCGTAATCACGAAAATTTAAGCCTCGCGAAATACTTTTTTTTCGCCTCAAATAATAATAAAAAAAATCAGAAATTTTTCACTTGCCCAAAATTTAATGATTTAGTGCACAGTAACAAGCTTTTTCTTGACAACTTTCTTTCTTATAACTATTTTTTGAATAATATACAACTATATTTCTTGAATATAAAACAATAAAATTAATAGAAGGCAGCTCATTCACTTAGAATACTATATATACTTCTTTGAAGCCATTCAAAATTATCTCATGTTTGGCTTCAATACCATTAAATACGCGCACAAGCCAAGAAGCGTGAATCGGTTTTAGTCGTAATATTCGCAAGTCCACAGATTCTTTTCCTCTAAAAATTGAAGCTCAATTGAATACCACTTAATAAACTCATTCTTGAGCAAACGCTTGATCTCGCCATTTAGACGGGAACGGAGGGGGGAAGAACTTTT